AGTGAATCAATGCACTGTAGCAGTGCATCGCTACATAATTTTAATTCGACATTTTGGTTCATCAATGCACTGTTCACGTTACTGTAGCAATGCATCGGTACATTGTTTACTGTTCACGGGCACTGTTCATTATTGTTCACAGTATTGTTCATCACTATTCATAAAAAAATCTTTTGCCTTAAATTTGTTTTAACGAAACACAATTCATATGAAATGATATTTGTATAATATCATTTACCAATTTAAGAAAATAAATTTTAAATCACTTTTGAATGGGAAATGTTTTTTTAAAATTTGAGGAACATCTATAATATGTATAGGTATAATTATATGGGTTATGGGTGTTACAACACTAACATCGCTAACCCACTCCTCGCGAGTGTTCGGGCCTCGCACCCTAGTTAGCCCCTAAAGTTCCCTACGCACTGGTAACCCCACTAGGGCAACTAAAACAACCTAGGTATACCTTAACATAACTGGACTCACTAAAGTGAAGTCAACGTTATACTAATTGTTATCTTGTTTGTCCTCTCATCTAGAATGTTATGGGAAGGCTTACTTATTATCTGTGGAACTGGCTAGTTCGATATCTGGCTTGGGTTCATTTTTGAGTAGTTGTATTCTATTTGACCTTATCATACTTCCCTCAAGAACCTCTTGATTTGGAAAGGGCGACTTACTCTTCCTGGGTTCACTGACATTCTCAAAGCTCATACTTTCCGTTATCACTAAATTTGACATAATCATCTTACTGCTTATCGGATGTTTCCTGTAACGATCATCGGTCCCAACTATCTATATACGCCTTCGATTGAAGATACTTCGACGTATTATGCTTAATATGGTTACACTTGATATAACCCACTCTTGCGAGTGTTTCTGGATATATTTGGTCATTTATGTCTCTCACATACTAAGTCTTAATATTACAGATAGTACTTAGCTCTTACAGGCCTTAAACGAGTCAAATCTGACCATCCAAAGTGAGTAGTATCGATAATTTACTTGCATTATCGATACCCTGGAGTCAAGTATCAATAGCCCTATGAGTATGGGTACCAAAAATGTATTTTGTTGCGAAAATGAGGCCTCAATATCGATATTGTCACCCTAAGTATAGATACTCCCATTGGCAGTATCGATACTCCTAGTTAAAATCCCTAATTTTTACCTCAATTTATCCAATATCGATATTCAAACCTAGAAATGGTTATTTTAGGCTAAAAATCACTCTAAAATCATCTTAAAAGTCATAGTTTGATTCTAAATCATGTACTGAGGGTTTAGAGAGTTAACTAGGGTCCCTAAGTGTCATAATACACATTAATAACACCTAAAATGTCTTTTAATCTTGAAAACAAATTTAAACCCTAATATGCTCAACTACACAAATCTTAGCAAATACTTGAAATATATGAAAGCTTAATACTCTGAATGATTAGAAATGCACTACCTTGATGATTAAATCCCAAAATAGAGCTCCTTTAGCTAGAAATCACTCTCCTCAAGGCCTGGATGATAAAAACCACTCTTTTTTTGAAAAAATAAAATAAAATCCAAAGCTTGAATCTTCAAAATGAGGTTGGTGGGGGTTTAATAGGATAATAATGAAGTATAAAAAAGCTCAAGATCTTACCTTGCTATGGAACTTGGAGATGGAATGAATGAAAAAGAGAATATAAGAAGATAGAGAGGAAATGGGAGAAACCCATGTCCAAGTTTGATTTAAAACCCTAAATTTTAACTTCAATTTCCATCAATGGTATAATTGTACTTTTAATCCTTGGTATTTTGTCTCATATTCAAAAATCCCCTTTTTGTGTCTAATTGGGCCCAAATCAAACCCAATTAAACCTAACGACTTAAATCATGAGGGCCCATTTACCTCTCGGGTAAACCCGAAACTACTAGCCCGAATTTTGGAGTGTTACAAAATCAAACCATGAGAAAAAAGAAAAATATGCCACAAAAGTAGAGATAAACGTGTCGCGAAGATATAATTATTCTTATTAGAAAACTAAAAAAGGAAACAAAAAGAAAAGATAACCGATAGTCGACAATCAATATCAAAACTGGTGTTGTCGGTGGCTAAAGAAAATCAAAGAAGAATAAGTTGATTTGATCAATAGAAAATGACGCAAACTGTAATTAAAAAAAGAGGGAAAAGAGGGGAAGAGAACGGCTAAGGTTAATGAAATATTCACTTTAACGGTTTAATATTAACCCTAATTCTTATTATTTATATATATATAAATAATTATTTGATTACAAAAACAATTCCTAATAAAAATATTATCCAAACTAAGTTTTCCCCTTGTATTTGACATATAATAGAAGAAATATATATCAATAATTATAAGAGTAAATTACACGCTTACTCATTGAACTTTACTCTCTCTCCTATTTCACTCACTGTACTTTCAATTTTTTCAATTTGCTTAATGAACTTTAGACATTGAACTTTTTTTGGTCACTCGACCGTTAAGTTTCTAATGCCGTTAAATTAAAATTGAAAAAATTAAAAATAAAGTGAGTGAAATAAGAGAGAGAGTAAAGTTTAGTGAGTAAACATATGGCATGTTTTATTATTAAAATAAGCCATGTGAGCACCCCGCTACTTAGTAAACGGTCGAGTGGCCAAAAAAGTTCAATGTCTAAAGTTTAGTGAGCAAATTGGAAAAAAAATGAAAGTACGGTAAGTGAAATAAGAGAGAGTAAAATTTAGTGAGTAAGCGTGTAATTTACCCTAATTATAATTATAAAACGAGTATACATCTTGCCACAAATAAAAATGTAAAATTCGAATAAACTCTAACAATAATTATAATTATAAAACACAAGGTACACTATGTATTTAATACATAAACTATCCATTTCAGTCCGTTATAGTATCTAAATTTTAATATTTTTTTTTCTAAATCATACCTAACGTTTAATTTTTGTTTCATTTTAGTACACTTTCATTAAAAACTTAACATGTTTAGTACCTAAACTATTAGTTTTAATCCATTTTAGTACCTAAACTTTCATTTTTTTAAATTTAATGTTAAATTTTGAACGGAATACTAAAATGAAACAAAAACTAAAATTTAGGTATGATTTAAAAATAGAAATTTAAGTATTAAAACATACCAAAACTAATAGTTTAGATATTAATCATATAATTAGGGATGGCAAACGGGCGGGTCGGGTGCGGATACCCCCTCCCCCATCCCCATACCCACCTAATATTTTTCAATCCACCACCCGCCCACCACCCATGATGGGTACAAATTTTCAAATCCACACCCGCCCACGCGGGTACATTTTCAAATCCATCCCCACACCCACTACCCACTAGCGACATACCCATCTAGACCCGCCTGACAGCAAACTAATGGGATGTTGGAGTTGGTTCTCAGACAGTTCGTGGTGGGGTAGCAGCGCATGCTTCAATTTGTCAGAGGAGTAGCTCTACGAATGTTATGGAGACAGATTGTAGGGAGCATGTAGTCGCAGAGCTGGATTGTTGTGTTGCTTTCGATGTTAATGCTCATAGTGCGCCTAATATGAGTTTTGAGGGGCTAAAGAACATGGAAACTGCTACTTTTGATGTTAATGCTTATAGTACGGCAAATTTGTGTTTGAATGGGCAGCATGGGCTAAAGAACATGGAAAGTGACGTGGTTAGTGGGATTATGGGTTTAATCAAAGAGCCGAATATTTCTCTAATTAAAGACCAGATTAAAGACTAAATATCCTTAATATTTGGATAAATTATATGTTATATATTATACAATATTAAAATTTATAAATTAGTCTCTAAAATTACACCTAAATTCATAATGGTCCAAAATTTAATAGATATTTAGCTAGGTGGGCGGATGTGGGGCGGGCGGCTGCGGGATGGGTAATGTCTCAAACTCATTACCCGCCCACCACCCACGACGGGTACCACTTTATAAATCCACACCCGCCCACTACCCGCTAAAATTATACCCATCCTCGCTTCAATTGGAACGAATGTGGTACGGAATCCACGAAACTGTACCCATTTGTCATCCCTACATATAATTTACCCTTAACAGAATACAATCTGAATAATATACTAGGCTTGCAATCGAAATATTTAAAGTAGTCTTGAAATATAATTGCCGACAGTGAATGAGCTTTGCAGATCTTATGGCTTTTATGCCGACATATTCCCAAAAATAGAAATTCTAATTCAATATGCTTGTCTCTAAATATAATATTAGTTAAGATTTTATATGTCATCAAATCAGTGTCATAATCAACTGATTTATTAATGAATTAAGGGTAAATTATGCATTTAATACATGAACTATCAGTTTTAGTATCTAAACTTTTAATCTTTTCAAAATTATACCTTACATTTGGTTTTCATTTCATTTTAGTATCCGCCGTTAAAAAACTTAACATGTTTAGTACCTAAACTATCAGTTTTGGTCCGTTTTAGTACCTAAACTTTCAATTTTTTAAAAACTTAACGTTAAATTTTAAACGATCTAATAAAGTGACACAAAAAGTAAAATTTTTAGCGACGAATATTAAAATGAAACAAAAACTAAATTTTATGTATGATTTGAAAAAATTAAAAGTTTAAGTATTAAAATGGATCAAAACCGATAATTTATATAAAACGCATAATTTACCCATGAATTACTATGTTACCAAATCCAACACTACAAAGAAATGGGAATTGGCGGATATTTGTTTTACATGTTTTTTCCCTGTCTGAATTGAAACATTGTGGTCCAACTTAAATTTAATATGGTATAGAAGCATGCACTATACTTAATCATTAACCTCTTTATATTGATGTCACTTTCTAAAATTGTTTAGTGTCATGATTTATGAAGTAGGTATACGTTGATAGGGAATTTTATGTTAATAAAAAATATTAAAAAATTTAAAATTATATTATAATTTAAAAATTTTAAAGAACGACGGCAATATCGATACTGATTTTGTGTATTGTATTAATCTTTCTTTCCTCTTTATAAAGGGAAAAGAGATAATAGCTTAAAGTCGAATAAATCTGTACATTACAATAATGAGCATGAAATATGAATATGCATGTTTCAGCTTTCATCTTCATCTTGTCTTCCTCCTACTTGTCATGGTTCAAGGCTTAGAACAAGTCGTGGATAATGATCCATCACCTCGCATGGACCACATGGATCAATCATCCATGGTGTTTTTCACCTTGAAACATCTTAAAGTCGGGAACTCGATTCCGATATATTTTCGTAAGAAAGATTCTTCCGGTTCTCCTCGCCTTTTGCCGAGAGACGAAGCTGAATCCATAGCTTTCTCATCAGAAGAGCTCCCTAATCTGCTTCGGTTCTTCGCTTTCTCGGAGGACTCTCCCCAGGCCAAAGCGATGGAAAATACGCTCCAAGAATGCGAGACAGAGTCCATCAAAGGGGAGGTCAAATACTGTGCTACGTCTTTAGAATCGATGCTCGATTTCGCGAGCAGCGTCTTCGGACCCGATGTCGGTTTCAAGATCGTCGCGACGGAACATCGTACTGAGTCGGACACACTTTTCCAAAACTATACCGTGTTGGAAACGCCGGAAGAGATACCGGCTCCGGCGATTGTGTCGTGTCACACCAAGCCCTACCCTTATTCCGTGTTGTATTGCCATAGCCAGGTGACGGAGAACAGGGTTTTTAAGGTGTCGTTGGGTGGTGAGAACGGAGATCGGGTGACGGCGGTTGCCGTTTGTCACATGGATACTTCGCAGTGGAATCGGAACCATGTGTCTTTTCGCGTGCTGGGGATCGAACCTGGGACACTTCCTGTCTGCCATTTCTTCCCGGCGGACAACTTTGTTCTTGTTCCGGACACTTGAACCTGTACTACTTGTCTTTGTTGCGAGACTTGATGTTGTCTTGAATAATAAACCTTTATAAAAAAAATAGGGTAAATTAACTATTTAATTCTTTAACGTTCTCTTATTTCTATATGCATAACATACATTTTAGTTTTGTTTTGATTATTCGTTGAGAGTTGATTTAACGAAAATGGTAATATGATAATATAATAATAACTTTAATTATCAAAATTTATATTTTTTATAAAATTATCATAATTCAAAATAATTTAATAATTTAATAAATTTTTAATATTTCAAAATATTAAAAATTTAAGAACAAAGATGTCTTTTAGTGGTACAATATTATCCCCGAACATCCCTTAATCCGGTTAAATTTTTTAGTTTTGATTTATTTTGATTTTAATCTCTAACTTTTATTTTCAATTATACTTTATCCCTTAAACTGATATTTGTAAGTGAAAAACTCACTTCTTTTACGATAAAAGAAAGAATAAATTACATGATTAGTACCTTAATTATCGTTTTGGCTTGTTTTAGTATCTTAATTTTTATTTTTTTCAAAATAATGCCAAACATTTAGTTTTTATTTCATTTTAGTACATCACCGTTAAAAACTTAACCGCACTGTTTTTTTATTGGTAAATTACATCATTCATTCATCAACTATTTTCTCACTCCTATTTTGATATTAAAGTTTAATATTTTTTTTAATTTGACTATTTAACTTTCAAATTGCTCATATTTTAATCGCTTTAATCTATTTTATTAATAATTTTTGTGACATGACATTTTTTTATTATTTTATTAATATATAATTAAAAATAAAAATAAATTTGAAAGCTAGAGTAATTAAATTAAGAGTAATTTGAAAGTTAAGTAATTAAATTAAGGGTAAATTACATCGTTACTCACTAAACTTTACTCTCTCTCTCTCCTATTTTACTCATCGTACTTTCAATTTTTCTATTTTGCTCACTGAACTTTACAGATTGAATCATTTTGCTCACTCTGCTGTTAACTTTTTAACGGTGTTATGACATGGCACAAGCATCAAAACAACTTCGTTTTGAAAAACTCAAATTTACACCAAAACGACATTGTTTCAAATCCTCTTCTTCCTCCCCATTGACGCCACCTGCCACGACATCATTTTTCCTTCTGGCCACCATCGATCATCGTTGATGGTGGCCATTCAATCCCAAAATTAATGGGTCAGTTCGTCTCAACCCCCGAGTTCGAATCTGGTGGTTGTTTCACTAGAAAATATCCCAAAATCCATGAATCTCGACTGAAACGTTTTAGCTTCCTCAGTTTCAATCTTCGATTCGTGGACTTCGGAGCAAGTTCCGAAAAAATGGAGGTCGGATTCGGATTCAAGGTGTCGAGACAAAACAAAAACTAAATGTTACATATGATTTTGAAAATATTAAAAGTTTAGGTATTAAAACATACTAAAACTAATAATTTAGGTACTAAACACGTAATTTAACCTAAAAGAAATTGGTACACAAAAGCATCATATATCAATAATACTTTTATTTGATTTCTCATTTGATGTGTTTTATGTAAAACACACCGATGAGTTAATTCCGACAGATCTTTCTAACCAACAGAAAGAAGAGTTTATCTGACAGACACTCATATACTAGAGTGACATTAGAAATATTTAAGCCGACGGTTTTTTTTTTCACCGCTCAGCAATGAGTGACTTCTATTAAAATAAAAATGTAATACAAGAAAGGGAAAAGAGCACATAAATGTAATCAAGGTTACAGAATAAACGTCTCCATAAACATATTCATACAATAAGATTTACTTTCCGACAATTTGAACAAGATCAACTTCCAAAATATTAAACAGACATACAACCTCCGAAAACTTGTCAAGCTTCACTTCAGACAATCAACACTGCCTTCAAAAACTTGTTAAGCCGATGATTTTGTTTCACTTCAATCAGTTCTTGTAAAACTTGGCGGTTGGCTCCGATTCAAAATCACCGGTGAATGATTTTTTATCTCCTTTTAGATTAGAATCATCTCCGTAAGCGGTATCACCGGGGCCATGGTTCGAAATCACCTAAGAATGTGGACTTCTTTTCATCTCCTTTAGGCCTAATTGTTCGATCGAAATCCTCAACAATAATCTTCTCTTCCTTGAGCTCAATGCTTGCAGGTGTATTGCATTTAGTTTTGCCGTCGGAGCAGGTGGCGGCTGCCTCGACTCGAACAAGCTCCTCTAGTGCTTTGGGCATAGGTTGATCTTTCCTAGCTGCTGCAATGGTGTCTGCAAACTGCATCCATATAAAATATATGTAAAATTAACCATCCAAGTTGTTAACAATACATATAACACTTAATTATTGGGATTGAATGGTTTTAATATCTTTGGCAGAGCTTAATATCGTAATGATGTCGTCCGAAATTATTATTATTACATGATAAATACACTCATAATGACCATAATAGCATTTGTTATGTCCACAGTAGTAATAAACGTAACCTAACTAAAAACACGACCGAATTGCAGTTTAAAACCCTAATAATTAACTATATTAACTTTGCAACATCAGCTTACCAGGAAAAGTGATAGAAATGCAAAGAAAGGAAGGAAAGATTTCATGACTTTATAATGCAATAAACCTAGAGATTGATCTATTTTTAGTTCTTCATGATTTTTTTTGAATTTTAATTTTTTTTAACTTTTTAAAAGATGGCTATGCCAGGTCAATATTTTCAGAACGAAATATTTCAAAGGACCAATGATGTAGACGAATGAAAGTCGAGGGGCTAAACAAATTTAAAAAATGGTTAAATGATCAAAGTGAGAATTTCTTTAAACTAAAAGGACTAAAGTATATTTTAAGCCAAACAAATATTAGAACTTAATGGATTTTTGAGGATTATAAATAGGAGCACACATATCTCACACATTTATTAGAACATAAAGGATTTCTCTTTACAAGTAAAACACACCGAACACACCTATTATAAACACAAGACAAATATTATTATGAAAACATAAGATTCTTCCTTGAAAGCCCAGAATTTTATTGGCACGTATTAAACGATTACTTCTGCTGGACATGGTCTTCATGCTGAACATGAAAGTTAACAAAAAAAAATTATGGCCTATCCAAATTGAAATCCGTAACAAAATATGTATCCAAATGTACATGCTATTGACACTTACCGTCTTTCTTTGGATGGTAGACAAAAACTAGATTTATAATAGACTCTTGTCCTACATTTTCCATCTTTCTATCATCTTTTTTTCACGAGATAAAATAAAGAAATTATAGGCCTATCCAAATTGAAATCTCTAACAAAATATGTATCCAATTGTACATATCATTGACACTTACCAACGTGAATCCCGAAGGAAAAATCTAATTCGATGATCCAAAGGAAATTATAGGCCGGAATCAAAGATTGACTTGGGTATTCGGTATACAAAGAAGAGTCACGAGGATTGTCGTTGTAGACAAAGTAACAAACGTGAATCTTCGAAGGGAAAATCTAATTCGATGATCCGAAGGAAATTAAGTCAAAGCAAGGTTTAAGGTTGTTTTTACCATATTCATTTTCAACCTTCAATTTTTATTTTCTTTAAATCGCTTTTTATTATTTAATCATCTTTACCTAAACCCCTTTTTACTACTTATAGCCTGATATAAGCAATTCAAACAGAAATTTGAAATTTTCTAAGTCCCTGAGGATCGATTCTTACTTTTCTTTACAACATATTTATTTTATTTATTAAATGAAAAAAAATTATTTTGACATGACAATTATTTATTTCTTTCCATCGGTTAACTTATTATCATTAATTTATTTGACTTTATGTTGTTTGCTTTTGGAATATGTAATCTTTTTATCATTGATTTATCTCCCCCATCATAACCCATAAATTTAGGCTCGTATACATATTAAATCATGGATTTGGAGCATAGATTTAATTAGTTAATTGTGTGAGATGGTTACAGCTCATACCCTTAATTATTTATTATTTGGAGGTATCCTTAATTCTTTTTTTATTTATTATTGTTGACTAAATATTCAAGTGTCCTTTTTTTATTTAAACTCAATTGTTTTTTACACGTGTTTTACTCTAACATGTATACTTACTGTTTTCTAAAATGTATATGTATGTACATAGACATGTATGCTTGGTCATGTGAATGCAATGTTATAATCCCTTGTTTCCTTTATAAATTATGTCATCATGCTAGCACATATATGTTAAATACGTGATATGCTTGTGTGAAATTGGCATGTTTTTCGTTTATTTACCAAAGTATGGTACATGTATGAATAATGGATCCTTTGTTAATTAAATTAGTACAGGTTTTATAAGTGCTTTTAGAATGAGTAGGTTCGTATGAATGCTTAGTTACATGACATCATTTTTGCATAACGTGTATGATTTCCTCATGAGCATAATTTCATCTTTTCAAATAATTGGATTAAGAGTAATACCCTTTCATTTTAAGGTCGTTATGAAGAGAATGTCTTAACGTATAAGAAAGTCACTTTCGATAATTTTAAAATGAAATTATATCACATTAAGTGAAACCTAAAAATCTGATTACACTTAAAATTTGGGGGCGAGAGAAAGAAATGTTCGTCTATTTAAATTCGTTGGGAAAAGATTGTTAGAACTTATAAAAGGTTTGATCTCGATGTCTTTAAATAATCGAACATCCTTCTTCTTTCTAAAAGGATTGATATTTTTTAATTTTATTTGTTTTATTTTATTCGTGTTCATGCATGCGTTCGAATTAATAATGAATTTTAGAATGAAATAGTAATATTTCTTTATTTTGATTAGAGTGAGAACTAACTGCTTTAAGGTATGAGAGATCTTTTCTTCTCGATAGGAAATAATTAAATATTATTGTTTTTCATCCTAAAACTCAAATGTGTTGTTTAAAGGGATCCTAAATTAAATAAAATCTGAACTTGTAAATTTTATTGCAAAGACAATTAATTAATCAACTCGATATCAATTTAGGACGATGTGGGTGTGCTAACCCTTCCCCATGCATAATCGACTCTCGAACTCATTTTTTTGGAACGTAGACCTAAAAACATCGTTTTGATAAAATTAAAATTAAATTTATTAAAATAACAATAATTTTGGGTGCTTAATCACACTCTAATCGAATATTGGTAAGGACTCCTCAAACCATTTTTTTAATTTTAAAAGGAAACACCAAATTAATCAAAACGATATTTTTTAAATCACACTTGATTAAAAATTAAATTTGTTTTTAAGAAATATTTTGACAGATTCCTCCCCATGGAGTGTTAAGAATAAAGCACTCCTTTTGGGGCCTAAGCCAGGGGAATCCGAAGTTTGCCTCTTCTTCCCTGCGTACGATCTTGTCGTGGTTTCCTGTGAATAATAAAAACGATAAACTACATCATATACCATCAAACTTTATCTATTGTATCGTTTATATAATTGAATTTTCAATTTTAACAGTCATAGCACTGGACTTTAATTTTCGTTTCAATTATACTAATGGGTCGTTAAATCGTTAATAGTCGGATCAAGACGTCATTTTGTTCAGGTGTCTACGTCGTCAGTCGTCAGTCACGTCATCGTGTCGTTAATGATTTAACAGTTTAGAGGTATAAATGAAACAAAAATCAAAGTTCAATGTTATAATTGACAAAATTGAATATCCAGTGATATAAACAATACAACACCTAAAATTCAGTGGTATCTGATGTAATTTACCCTAATGAAAATCTGCGTGTAATTGGAATAAAATGAAAAATAATATTATCCTTTGGTTTGGAACTAATTGTCATGTTTTTGGGGCTTACTTGTCTTAATTAAGAAAAAACACAAACTATACTTCTTGTTTGTTGAAGTGTCTAAAACTGTGCTATATTCGTTTAGTTAAAGCATGGTGTCTAATGTTTATTCTATTATCATTTAAGATTTCTATTTTTTTAAGGTCATCTCGTAACGTTCAAAAATTGTCAATCAATAATTGCTTGACACTGATTTCTGATTTTAATCTTTAAAAAACAAAAACAAAAACTAATTTCATATTGTTAATAAAAATCCTAAATTTTATCATTTCTACAAAAAAAATCTCAAATCTTTAAATCTCATTAAACGGTCAGAGATCAAGAAACGAACGAAGGTTTGAGTGACTCAATTTTGGTTTGGGTGACAATGTAGTCTCAATTTTGTTTTGGTTAGTGACTTAGTGTTGCGATTATTCCATTTTGAATGACGACCTGCAACGGCAAGGGGGCGATCGACTGATGGGAGTCTGAAACAGATGGAATAACCGATGGTGGTTGATTCAATAGTTGTATATGAGATTTAGAGATTTGAGAATTATGGCAAGAGGCGTTATTTAGAAATAATGGATGTTTCCTTATTATAAGTGGAAGCACCCTAAAAGGATATATCACAAACTAGTTCATTAAAATACACAAGATTCAACTTACAAAGCTCGCTACTTTATTCATTGATATCTAATGATATCTTTTATTCTAACGAACAAAAGCTTCTTGAAGCTGAATCTACATGTTAACGTCCGACAAAGCAGCTACTTGAGCATGTCCTTTTAGATTATGGTTTTGGCCAAATCCATGACAAAAGATGTTTTAGTTTCTTGAGGCTTATCGTCTTTGTTTTTGGCATCTTGAGACTCGTCTTTTTTCTTCAAAGAGTTCATGGCCTCTTGGGATAGATAATTGTATTGAGGACGGTTGGGGTTGAAATCATTGAGAAAAGCGTTTTTCATGGCCTCCTGGGACAAGTAATTGTACTGAGGACGGTTGGCGTCAAAGTCCTTGAGAAAAGAGTTCTTCATGGCTTCCTGGGACAGGTAATTGTACTGGGGACGGTTGGCGTCAAAGTCCTTGAGAAAAGAGTTCTTCATGGCTTCCTGGGACAGGTAATTGTACTGGGGACGGTTGGCGTCAAAGTCCTTGAGAAAAGAGTTCTTCATGGCCTCCTGGGACAGGTAATTGTACTGGGGACGGTTGGGGTCGAAGTCCTTGAGAAAAGAGTTCTTCATGGCCTCCTGGGACAGGTAATTGTACTGGGGACGGTTGGGGTCGAAGTCCTTGAGAAAAGAGTTCTTCATGGCCTCCTGGGACAGGTAATTGTACTGGGGACGGTTGGGGTCGAAGTCCTTGAGAAAAGAGTTCTTCATGGCCTCCTGGGACAGGTAATTGTACTGGGGACGGTTGGGGTCAAAGTCCTTAAGGAAAGCGTTTTTCATGGCCTCCTGAGACAGGTAATTGTACTGGGGACGGTTGGGGTCAAAATCCTTGAGGAAAGCGTTCTTCATGGCCTCCTGAGACAAGTAATTGTACTGAGGACGGTTGGGGTCGAAATCCTTGAGGAAAGCGTTCTTCATGGCCTCCTGAGACAAGTAATTGTACTGAGGACGGTTGGGGTCGAAGTCCTTGAGAAAAGCGTTCTTCATGGCCTCCTGAGACAAGTAATTGTACTGAGGACGGTTGGGGTCGAAATCCTTGAGGAATGCATTCTTCATTGCCTCCTGAGACAGATAATTGTATTGAGGACGGTTAGAGTCAAAATCCTTAAGGAAGGCGTTCTTCATGGCCTCCTGAGACAGATAATTGTATTGAGGACGGTTGGGGTCGAAATCCTTGAGAAAAGCTTTTTTCATGGCCTCCTGCGACAGGTAATTATACTGAGGACGATTTGGGTCGAAATCCTTGAGAAAAGACTTAGCAGCTTCGGGCATGGTCTTCTCCTTCATTTCGTCATTACTCTCTTCTTCCGGTGCTTTTCTTGCATCAATAGTTTCTGCAAACTGCATAACATTCAAACACCGAGATGTGACCAACAGGCAAACATTAGAAAAACAACGAGAGATTCTTAATCATGAGCTCTGCCAATCTTTTTGTCTGCAAATTTACATTCCCATTGTCATAAGCAAAAAAATTAGTAAAATGATGATATATTCAAATTGATTAACTTGATCTTCAAGCAAACGCCTAAAGGGATGAAAATGAAAAGAATGAGAATAAAATGTACCAAAACAAGGCAAAGTAAAGCGAAGAATGCAAGGGAAGATTTCATGATTGCAAACAACTCCAATAGCTTTCACTGTCTGCAAGTGATAGTAAATTGCTTGGCTGCAACATCAGTTCCAAGCCACATATATAGGAAGGAAGAAATCAATAAAAAATTAAAGGTTAAAAAAGACATTTAATTGTCACCTAACCAACATCAATTAACTCGAAATCAAAAATTAAATCTCGATTCGAACTCAAAATAAAAAATCGAAGCTCGACTCGAAAGCTCTCGAGCTTTAAATTTTCAAGCTCGAGCTCGAAAGACTTGAACTCGAAACATTCTCAGACTTAGCTCGATTGAAACTTAAACTCGAGCTCAGCTCAAGCTCGAACTCGAATTCGAACGTGAACCTTAGTACATGAAAATCTTATATTATATTTAATAAAACATATAAATGATAATATTGTTAATAATTTAACTTAAAAATTAAAAAATTGTGTCATGCATCATTTGATTTTGTATTTTGATAAGTTGATATAGCATGTCATTATTCATAACTTATTTTTATATAACTTGTAATAGAGATTCAGTTTTTTAATTTAAAAAATGCTTTGTCATTGATTTTCTGCCTACATAATAAATCGAAATTATCGGTTCATCTCTAATTAAATAGATGAAAGAAAAAAATAAAAAATGAATAGAAAATATTTTTCAGTATGTTTGATAAAATAAAATATTTTATCTAATAACAGTTAATAGTTAATATTTAAAAATTAGTTAAATTTGATTAGCTCATATTAGAAAATCACATATACCCAAATATGATTTTTTTTAAATAAAAGCAACGACAATTAGATTCGTAAACTAATCACATAATTAGGGTATTTTCTCATAACCATTAACACAATACACTAGTCACTTAAGATCATATAATGATCATATAATGAAAAAGGTAAAAATGTATCTAAAAAGCTCGAATAATAGGTAGATATGAACAGATCTGACTACTATGACAAACGAACCACAACACGAGACTTAACTACTGAAAGACCACCGATAAACACAAATCTGAGACAACTATCTACGAACGTTTGCTACATATCCAAATCCAGTTCAAGGGTCCAAAATAGGAATGATCATAGAGATAACAATTGAGAATCATTTTAATAAGTAGTGACGATATCAAATCTAACCCTAAAAAGTTAAATAACAAAAACAACTAAAAGATTGAAGAAAACCCCAAAATAAATTGTCAAAAGACAGAGAAAATATAAAAGTATCAAACAGAGAACTACCGACGACGACAATCAACACTATAACTGATATCGTTGCCTACCAACCAAAGATGAAAAAGCATTAAACAATATACCTATATAAACAAAGGTTATCATTAGTTATTGTTTAGTTAATAAATAATTTTAATCTCATTATCCATTTGGCTATAATTGGAATAAGAAAATGAGCAATAAAAGCTGTTGGGTTCTGTGCATTATTGTTTATTAACTCACATGGTGTATGGAAAAGCATTAAATGATATCTCTTCTTTAATTACATCGAATTATATTTTATTTTCGAAAATGGTATAGTTTGATTATATGGATGATATTTATGAATAAAATAAATTGAATTGAAAATATCACCTCTATATATGGAATCTCTGTAATATTTTTATTTAAATTAATCTATTAATAAATTAGGTATTAATTATATAATCCAAAAACATATTGTTTAGGAAAACAATTAATGAAGTTGGTCAACAGGAGACAAATGGTATCAAGTAAAAGAAAACCCTGGCCTTGATTTCAGTGCTTCATCACTCACTCAAATTATTGAAGTTTTGTATAATCATCATTTTTCAACCATCCTATTATTATCATCATTATTTTTATTATATTATAAAATATTATTATTATTATTATTATTACAAAATATCATTATTATTTATTACAAACTCATTACCCAACATATGAACTCGGGCTCAATTACAAACCCAAACCTGAGCTCAAACCAAAAACCCTAGCCCAACACCTAAACCAACTCTATCTAACCTTAATAGTTCTTGCTTAAGCTTGCGCCGGCGCCGTCGATTCCAACAAGTAGCTCTGTTGATGTCACCGCCCGTCATCCGTGAGGTCTGCCACCTTCACAGTTCCACCATCATCACCTCAACAACATAATAAAAGAAGAGATCAAATCCAACCCAAACCCTGGAAAATTCGGGGCATTAAAAAAACGCAAATCATGCACAGTGCATGTCAGAGGAGCAAGTAGATTAAGAGTTTTTTTATTTGTATATGTAAAAGCTTGTGTATAAAAACCCGAGAAATATGGATGTAGAGGGGGCTCATTCCCTCATTTTTCGGAATACAAAAAAAGAAAAAATTTCAAGTTAAAAAACGTTTCTTTTTTAGCAATAATTCGAAATAAAAAAAGGAAGTCGAAAAGTTTACCTGAGAGGGGTAGTCGAAACGAGCGCTTCGTGAGTAGATCGGAATGTTGGTGGGTTTTGGGTTCGTTTTAGGAGATTTTGAGGTCGCTGGAGATAGGAGAACTGAAGCGTTTTGAGGGGTATGTAGTAGAGTGTTGCTTTGTTGAGTCTCTCGACTATTAAAAGTTACAAAATGGTCATTTGATTATTCATATGTTCCAAATTGGTCCTTTTTTGTTAAAAACTTTATGGTCATCTGAGCTGGATGTTAACATGTTGAATAGGGTATGAGAGTATATATTTTGAGAACAAATTTTATCATATCTCAATCAACAGATTAACATCCAGCTCAAATTGCGATCATGTTTTAAATAGAAAATAACAAGTTTATAATATATGAATAGTTAGATGATCATTTTATAACTTTTAATAGTCGGGGACTCAACAAAGCAATATTCTATTGTTATGAGACCATTTTGTAACTTTTAATAGTCAAGAAACTCAACAAAAATACCCTTTAGTCGGAGGATCATTTGTTTACATTAACCTAATTTTTTTTCTTGTCAATGTAAGTATTTAACTTTATCTTTTTGGTCAAAATAAGTATTTAGAATAATTTTGGACAAAATAGGTACTTAAAGTATTCAATCTTTTCATTTAAGTTCTAAAAATTTGATATTTGACATTGATTAAAATATATTGTAGGTACTTACATGAAAAGATTAAATACTCTAAGTATATATTTTAACCAAAAAATAATTCTAAATATTCACTTTGACTAAAAATATTTTTTTATAAAAGTAACTAATTTTATTCAAAATATGAAATATCTCAAAATACAATAAAAATTTACAACCACAATCGTAAATTAAGCACATAATTAAGAAAACTTCATATAATCATTGAAACAAAACTAGTAACTTAAGATCACATAAGGACCATACAAGGAAAAATTAAATCTAACCAAGAAACTCGAACAAAGATAGATACAAATAAATATTATCACATCGACAAACGAACAGAAAAAAGGGATAAACTATTGAAAGACCACTAATAAACCGCAAATCAAACTCGAGCAAACGTGAAAAGTTATCCATTAATGCAAATCGAGTATCCAAATTGAATCTGAGGGTCCAAAGTAGAGAATATCACAAGATATCATATAAGCGTCATCTTGATCACTCATGACCATGTCAAACTAACTCTTAGAAAAAAGATAAATAAAAAACAGTCAAAGAACTGAAAACATGCCAAAAAGCAGGAGAAAATGTGTCATAAAGGCAGATGAAAACGTACAACACATGCATACTGATTGAAAATAAAAAAACAAAAAGAAAATAAAGATACAATATAAAAAAGAAAAAGAAAATAAAGAATATCGGCGGTCTACCAACATTAAAGTTGGTGTCGTCGTCGATCAACAAAGATGAAAAAGATGATTAAAGTTATAAATGTGCACGTCAAAACCCCTAACAAATAGATTGCATCTGAAGATTTGGGGAACTTGTTTCTAAAAATGGATAATATGTTCTCAAGATGAAAACTTGTTCATCGATGTAAATAATTGTTTTTTTAGTTTTGGTTTTCCATTCAGTTTAAGTTTTTTTATCTGAAATTCCTTATACTTTCAGAGTTTGTGTCAAGATAAAAAAATTATTGAATTTAAAATTTTAATCCACGATTGGTTGAGAATTCTTCTAGATACAAATAATTTTTAGAGCAGACACGATTAATAAACTAGATAATAAGTAGAAAGATAATTAAATTTCAAGATGGACACTTGTCTACCTTAGTCAATACATATATCCGTCAGTGTTTATTAGTGATGGATCTAAAATTCGTATTAGTGGATTTGGGTATATTTAATATTTTTTCTTCTAAATTTTCTTTCTTTTTATTAGAATTTTATAGATCCAAATGAGATCAATTAACTCTAATAAACTGCTATGGTTTATTTAAATTTAAATTTTATTCGAATTTAAATTTTTAATCCACCATTTGTTGAGATTTTTTCTAGATACAAATATTTTTTATCTGAAAATTTTTAAAGTTCAATGATTAAATTTATATTTTACCCATATTATCAATATTAGCAATAAAAGCTATGGTTTATTTCCTCCACGTGGTGTATGACCCACACGGCTATTAATGAAAGCAATAAAAGCTTTTGTATTCACTCATTAATTTTTATTGACGTAGATATTTTTTTAAATTTATCACGAAGCGAATTTTAATTGTGTCTATTAAAAATTATAAAATGATCATCTGATTTTTATTATTTTTTAAACTAGTCATTTTTCGTTTAAAAAGTTGATGATATTTTGAGTTGAATGTTAACATGTTTGACTGTGATGCGATAAAATTTGATCTCAGAATCTCAAACGACTATCATATCTCAGTCATTATGCTAACGTCCAGCTTAGAGAATCGTTAAATTTTTACCAAAAAGAATGATTTTAGAACATAATGTATCGTCAGGTAATCATTTTATACCTTTTCATAGTCGATGGACTTAATGAAGCAATATTATGTAGTTGGAAGACAATTTTATAACTTTTAATAGTCAATGGAATTAATAAAGTTGTATCCTATAGTCGATGACTGTACACACAAAATATAAAAAATCGTGACCATTTCGTAATATATATATATAT